ATCAATGTCTTAAAACATCAATAATTTCTTTCTTGTTTATGTTATATATTTACTGTGGTTCTGCTGGAGGCGTTGGCTCTGTGTTATCCTCACTGCTGGGTCTGGGTTCTGGGAGCAGCTCACCATTTAGAGTATTGCCTGTCACTGTGGCAGAGGGAAAAAGAGAGCAAGGTGAGTCTTGTAGCAGCTGCTAAGTCTTCAGCAGATATAACTTCTGGTCCTATTTCCTTGATCAGAGCAACTCATGTAGCCACATTTGATGTCAATGAAGGGAGGGAATTGCCATCCTATCATGTTCCAGAAGTAGAGAAAGGCTAGAGATGTTTGTGAACAGGACTAGTGACTGTCAAAAACTTCCATATGTGGCACATTGTTTCATTTATGATTTGTTCTTTTGTTTTGCTTTTTTTTTGGATATAGGGTCTCACTCTGTCACCTAGGCTGGAGTGCAGTGACACAATCTTGGCTCACTGCAACCTGTCTCCAGTGTTTAAGGGATTCTTGTGCCTTAACCTCACAAATGTATTAGTGTCTGTAGTATTCATGGATTTAGTCTCTGGTTGGTATAGAAGTGCATGGCTGTTGATTATTACTATATAACTGCCTCATTGTTTAATATAAAGTCCTTATCAGCGAGCCAACTATGTGTGATCTCAAATTATTGTTTTTTCTGTCAAAACACAGCTTCTCCCAATATAGATGACCCTGATGTTGTTGAGAAACCTGAAAATATCCTATCCTTTCTAAGAAAGCCAGGATAATGTGAATCTATAGTGAATCATTCACTATTATCAAGTGGGATTTATTCCTGGGATGCAAGGATGGTTCAACATAAGCAAACCAAGAACTGTGATATATCATGTTAACAGAATGAAGGACAAAACCATATGATCATCTCAATAGATGCAGAGAGAGCATTTGACAAAATCCAGTATCTTTTTTATGATAAAAGCTCTAAAAAAATTAGGCAAAGAAAGAATGCACCTCAACATACAATAAAGACCATGTATAAAAGGCCCATGCTAACATCATACTCAGTAGTGAAGAGTTGAAAGCTTTCTCTCTAGTATCAGGAATAATATGAGGATGTTTACTCTTACCATTTCTATTATATATAGTCCTTGGCCAGAGCAGTTAGGTAAGAAAAAGAAAAGGCATCCAAATAGGAAAGGAAGAAGTGATATTGTTTGTTAGCTTATGACATGATCTTATACATAGAAAACCCTGAAGACTCTATCAAAAACTGTTGGAACTGATAAACAAATTCAATAAAGTTTCAGGTTACAAAATCAATACACAAAAAATCAGTGGCATTTCTTTAGTAATAATGAGCTATCTGAAAAAAAAATTAAGAAATCAGTCCCATTCACAGTAGCATTAAAAAAACCTAAAAGTAAACTTAACCAAGGAGGTGAAAGATCTGTATACCAAAAGCTATAAAACATTAATGAAAGACATTTCATTAATGGAGAAATATTCTGTGTTTATGGGTGGGAAGAATTAATATTGTTAAAATGCCCATACCACTGAAAGTGATCTACAGAGTTAATGTAATCCCTATCAAAAGTGTAATGTCATTTTTTTACCAAACTAGAAAAAAAATCTTAAAATATATATGGAACACAAAAAACTCCTAGCAGCCAAAGCAGTTTTGAGCAAAAAAACCAGAACTAGATGCATCACACTACCTGACATCAAAAACTATTACAAAGCTATAGTTATTAATGCAGCATATTGGAATAAAAAAAGACACATCCACCAATGAACAGAGTAGAAAGTCCAGAAATAAACAATGAATTTACAGTCAATTTTTTTTCAACAATGGTGCCAAGAATACACATGGAGAAAAGATGGTCTCTGCAACAATTCGTGTTGGAAACATCAGATATCTACATCGAGAAGATTGAATTAGATCTTGTGCCATATCAAAAATCAGCTCAAAATGAATTAAAGACTTAAACATAAGCTGTAAACTGTAAAATTACTAGAAGAAAACATGGAGAAAAGTCCATGACGTAGTCTGGGAGATTTCTTGACTATGACCTCAAAAGCACAGACAACAGAAAAGATAACAAATGAGACTGCAGCAAACTAAAAAGCTTCTATATAGCCAAAGAAACAATTAATAAAGTGAAGGGATAATCCATAGATTGGGAGAAAACATTTACAAATCATACATCTGATAAGGACTGATACGCAAAGTATGTAAGGAACTCAGCCAGAAAACAAATAACCCAATTGAAAAAGCAGTGAAGGATCTAAAAAGGTATTTCTCAAAAGAAGACATGCAGGTGACCAGCAGATACATGAAAAAATGCTCAGCATCAATGATTGTCAGGGAAATGAAAATCAAACCAAAGGGAGCTATCACCTCCCGCCTGTTAGTATGGCTATTACCAAAAATATGAAACATAACAAGTGTTGGAGAGAATGTGGAGGAAAGGGGACCCTTCTACACTGTTGGTAAAAATGTAAATTAATACAGCCATTAGGGGAAAAAGTATGTTGGTTCCTCAAAAAACTAAAAATAGGATTACATATGATTCAGAAATCTTATTTCTGGTGTATAACCAAAGGAATTGACATCATTATGTTGAGGAAATATCTGCACTTCCATGTTCAATGTAGCATTATTCATAATAGCTAAATATGAAAGCAATCTAAGTGTACAACAACAGATGAATGGATAAATAAAATGTTGTATAAACACACACACACACACACACAATGGAATATCATTCAGCCTTAAAAAAGAAGGAAATTCTGTCATTTGCAGCAACATGTTTGAACTTGAAGGACATTATGCTAAGTGAAATAAGCCAGGCACAGAAAGACCAATGTCACGTGATCTCACTTGTATGTGGAATCTAAAAAATTTGAACTCACAGCAGTTGAGAGTAGAATGGTGATTACCAAAGGTCAGGGGTGGTTGAGGAAATGGGAGATGTTGATTCAAGGGTACAAAATTTTAGTTAGAGAGTAGGAAAAAGATGTAGTAATCTGTTGCATGGAATGGTGACTATAACTAATTACAGTGCATTATATATTTTGAAATGGCATAAAGATTGTATTTTAAATCTTCTCACTACAAAAATTTGACAAGTATGTGAGATGATGGATATGTTAATTTGCTTTGATTTAATCATTCATAATGGAAAATATATCAAAACATCACATTGTACCACATAAATGCATGCAAGTATTATTTGTCAACTAAAATAAAATGTAATTTAAAAATCCATAGTAAAAAAAGCATTTGATTATGCATATATTTGAAATATATATGCATGGGAAAAACTAATTAAAATATTCAAACCAAATGATGTTCTCAGAAGAATATTTGTATTACACAAGGTAGACAAAGAGTTACATAATTAGTATGCAGAGAGAGTCCATAAAATAGTAAGAAGAAATATGATCCATTAGAAAAATGAGTAAAGATATGAACAGGTTGTTCATGTACAGATGCACACACATATGCATGTATACACACAGCCAACGAACTAAGGAAAGATGCTAACTCTCAGTGCTCATGAGGGTGGGGGAAATGGGCATTCCTGGACACTGTTAATAAAGTATAGAATGGTATATGCCTTTGTGAGTAATGCCTTGGCATGTATTTAAAAATTTTAAATGTTTATATTTTTTAACCTAGCTCCCAAGTTTTTTGAAATCTGTCACCTAGAAAGGAGGGGGAATCTCATTGCAGCACTATTTGTAAAACCAAAAAATTAGAAGCAAGTTAAATATCTCTCAGTAAGGAAAAAGTGTATCCATAAAGTGGAATAGAATGCATATATTAGAAAAAAGAGGAAATAATAATGAAAATAATAACTAAGATTTATTGAGTGCTTACTATGTTCCAGACACAATTGTAAGTGCTCTTTTAAGAACAGGTTTGTAAATAAGAACAAGATAATATCTACATGATATATTAAGTAAAAAAATAAGGTTTCAGACCAATATGAAAATAAATGTGAGTAAATAAAGTATAAATGTGTTATTGTAAAGATCCAAATATTTATATTTTTATATATTTCTACATGTAGATATATAAATGTAAACATAGTTGTACAAATATAGGAAAAGTTGGGAAGGCTGCCCTCTGAAGTCTTAACAATAATTAAGTCTAGGTATTGGATTAGATAGGGGGAGGCTTTTATTTCTTATATAATTATAGAAGCAAGGGATTGTGAGTAATTTTTACTTTTTTGTGTTTTTTTTTTAAATAATAACATTTTGGTGGTGATGGTGCAGGAATATTTGTGATCTACTCCACCCATGGTAAACATAGTTTGATCTATGAAAGTGATTACTGACAGAAAATCTTAGAAGAAGAACATTTCTTTGATGGTGTGGTCAGAGAGAACTGGATGTTCCCCTAATTGGGGAGCCTTAATTCTGTGTGTAATTTATAACTAAGAATACATTTAGATTTTTTTTTCCTCTTTTAAAAACTTTTATTTTAAGTTCATAGGTACGTGTGCAGGATATGCAGTTTGTTACATAGGTAAATATGTGTCATGGGGGTTTGTTATAGAGATTATTTCATTGCCCGGAATACACTTTAAAAATAGACAATAATTATTTCCATTATTGAGATTATCAGCCACCAGGGAAAGGAAAATTTTGGTAGTTAGAGTTGGTAAGGTGAAAGATAGAGAGGTATATTTTGAGAAAGAAATTATAGATGAGGTGGCAGTTTAAATTATTGTGGTGTCACATGAGGACTCTTATCCTTCCCCCTGACTCTTATCTCAGGGGATGGGATAAAGCAGGTGGGGGTAAATGCTTTTTGATTGCTCTTGAATACCTGTCTTTGGCTCTATTTTTTGTTTTGCCATGAAAGTAATTTAAAATTCTAGATTAATAATGCCTAAGTTCAAGTATTAGGTCTGATTTGGAGGGATCCAAGTTTACTGTAAGTGCTTATTTATCATTTTAGATTTATCTATCCCAGCACTTCCTTAGTGTTTCTCTCCTTCCCATTTTTTCTTCAGAGCAATGGAGAAGAAGAGATAGAGTGTGCAAGGGCATGAAGAAAAGGACTGGGACTATTTTCAAATCATCAACTGCACTACTAAAAAAGTAATCACAGGTAAGTGTTATGATTTTAAGTAACTTAATACTAAAGTGATGTAGGCGAACTAAATTAAGTACTAAAGAAAACTAGACAGAAGTCTAAAAGATATATGATTAGAAAGGATATATAAGCAATATAATTAAGAAAACAGCATCAGCAAAAAACCCCACTCATTTTTAAAAGATGATTTTTAGTTATTTGTCACTACATATTGACCATTTACTAAGTACATCATACCTTATTAAATAATTTGCCTACCTTTTAAAATGGAATCTTAAGCAACCCTCTTAAGTTCTTTTATTATTTCCATTATGAGGACACTGAGGCACAAAGAACTTGAGTGACTTGCCCAAAGTCGTACAACTAACAAATGTTGGAACTGAGACTCCAGTACAGGAAGTCTGATTCCATAGCCTGTCTTTATTATATAAATAAAGTGAGGCTGTCACTTTTTCTGATATTAAAAGGAATCCAATTGAACAAAGAAAGAACATGCTGTAAGACATAGTTCAATAGCAGAAGGTCCTTTAATAGTATGTAAAAGGAGAAATATTCTCATATTGATGAAAAGAAGAAAAGGAAAACCTGTGAGGATTTTAGAGCACCCTGACAATCTGACCCAGGCAGACACTTCTAAGAGCTGCATGAAACTGTATTTAAGGTCGACAGGAATAAAACTGTCCATCTTATCTTACCTTTCTCGTACATACACTTGGACTCCTATTACTCATTGGCAACTCCAGCTCTTGAACTCTGAAAATTCCACTGATGCCATTTGAGCATTGAGAAGATACTTTTCATTTTACGTTATATCTTCCCACTGTTTGTTGATGTTATGTGTATTCCATTGCTAAGGAATCATTCTCCTTGCCTGAGGAAAAAGTTTAAAAATATCTTGTGTTGTGATTAGAAAAGTCTTTGTATAAAGACAATTGAGAGAGAGAGCATGGACAGGCACCCATGTAACACATGATTGGCAATAGTTTTCAACTGTGCTTGGTGGTAAACATTTTGTTTTGTATGGAAACAAAGTGTAGACAAGAAAAAAAGGGATATGTTAATGTGACACATAGTGGAATGTATTTAAGTATATCTGTTGTTAACAAATGGGATGAATCCCCTAAATAGATAATATATAAAATTTACAGGCTGCAGGTGGTCATAGGTTCTCTTTTTCACCTATCAGTGGTGGTGATGGAGGGGAAGGAAGGCATGGGGGTGGTAAGGGAAATAGTATTTCCACCAAGAGAATTTTGAACCTAAAATGTAAGAAAATATTGTACTTTTTACTGATGCCAGTTATGCTTCATACAGATATTGGGTGATTGTCAAGCTATTGTTTGTAAGCCCTGCTGTAGTGTTGATTCTATACACTTTATCATATGACCGGTGAGGGCTGTGTTTGGACATCTTAGTGTGAGTCCAAGAATTCCAGGGAATTCAGAATATTTTACAGTATCGTTCTTTATTTCAAAGTCTAGTTTAGACTTTTAAACATTTCAACATATTGGATTGTAAACAAAACAACATCTTGTTGAAAGGAACAACCCTCTCCATGTAACCTGAATGGATGGAGGCAGTATTGTCTTTAGTCCAACTCTGAAACAAAAATCTGCTTCACTAAACTTTCTTGCAGACAAGCAGACTGCTTTGTTTGAAAATGTGAGATTGGAAAATCTGGTTGGAAGTTTTACCTTAAAATTTTTTCTTCCTGTGGGGAGGGCATGGGCTCACTAGTGACTCTTTGTTCTGGCAGCAGGAGGAAGGACATGGCGCTGGTGTCCCGGCTGGAGGAGCCAAGGGTTACCCGGTGCCTTTTATTTTCACATTAAAACACTGAGAAAAGGATCTGGCTCTCCACCTTTTAATATTGCTCAGCCATTTCTTTTTACTTTTTGCTTCAGTGAGCACAGTATGTGGTTTGCTAGGGAAGCTATTAAAAAGAAAACCCTTCAGTTTTATGGATGGATTTTGGCAAAATCTATAGTCAATGCATGTTTTTTAATTCCTTCACAACTACTCTAATTCTCTAGATCTTGATGAAAGCATGTTCAAAAATTGGCTCATAATTTATAATTTAACAAGTGACAGAATATTTTGACATTAGCAAATGAAGGGAAATGTTTTATATAACAAACCATGAGTGTGGCTTTCCATTTTGGTCATTTGTACTGAGCAGATGGTCACAATCAAAGACTTGGGCTGTTAGAAGCCTAGGCCAATTGTGTTGAAACGTTCAGGGTAACTAATATCATTCAGGCTTTGCCTTGTATTATATTTAGATTAAACTGGTTATCCTCTTTTTATTCAGAATGCCCACCCCTCTCCTATCTTTTTTTTTTTTTTTTTTGCTCTAAGTTACATAAACTTTTTTGCATGTGTATTTATAATTTGTAGTCTATATTCACCCCTGGGTTTTAACTTCTTGCTTTTCATTGCTTGAGTCCTTCTCAGCATTTCACCATCTCCTAAGTCTTAATGAGTAAAGGATGGCAAGAAACTTGACAGAGAAGGTGTTAGTGGGTCAGGGAAAAGTCCAGTGCAGAGTCTATGGTCTCATGGGATGGTAGAGGCCATGTGTCTGGTGACCGCTTGGATTCTCTCTCACACTGAGTCTGATTTAGGGCAGACAGTGTCATCTTTTAGTTGCCTTAGAAAAGCTTGACCCCAAATGTACTCTGAGAAGTCCTTAAAAATAAATTTATATTAATCCAGTAATTCTCTAGATAAAAAACTTAAAATTCTGTAGGAAGTATGTGTAACATACAGAAATAAGTGAAATGGATGACAATGAAACTAACATTGCTTTTTAAATCACTGTATTTGCATAAAATACACATGCATAAATAAGGCACACTGGCTGGCTGAGTATGACTCATGTTTTATACTCATTTTGTTTTCTTGCAATAAGAATACTTAACTGGGTAATAAAGCTCCCTCTTTTCTGGTCCCTGAGAAACCAACCTCCCAGCTGCAGGTCCCATTTTTAGCTGGGACAAATTTCATCTTATTTAACCAATCTTTCCATAAGTGGCTGAGTTGAGGAAGTTATTACTTTCTGTGATCTAAATTGCCTAACAGAATGTCACTTTACCTAAATCCTAGGAGTCCTGTGGGAAAATGCCAATGGGTTACTGTGCTTGTAAACTAAATAAGGTGCTGACTGGCTCCTCTTTATAAGCAGAACTAGCTTTAAGATCTTCACTCACATCACCTTAGTTAAACTTGAAAATGTGCTGTTTGTTATATAGCAAGAAAAGCAACACAATTCTCCTTTTTCTAAATATTGTTAGAAAGGGTCTGTTGTTAGATATAATTCAATTCCTAGTACTGTTGTGGGGAAATATGAATAAATACGTTGCATATTGACCTAGAAATATATTGCAAAACGTGATTTATTTGCAAAGAAGATCTGAAATTCTGTGGTATTCATCAGGTATTGCTCCTTTGTAAACATTAAAGGCCATAAATCTTTTTTTTTTCTTGTCAATTGAATACTTAAGAGGATTCTGTAATAATTATTCTTTTAAAAATAGGATTAATATTTAACTGTGTTCAGCAAAATTAATTGGAAGCTTCTGCAATTCAGGCACAAATAATTGTCCAAGTAAATTGCAAAGGCTCCATGTTGCAAAATTATTTAAGCATATAATAATTATACCTTTCACTTGTGTATGACATTTTAGATTTAACTCACTATTAATAAGTATTTATTAAGGCAATTATAAGTACATTCTGCTTTTATAGTTATAAATAAACCTTCTTATTCCCCACAAGAGAGCTTATTATTATTCCCTTAATGTGGAAGAGTATATGGAGGCAAAGACTGAGCAATAATTGCAGGACTGTTATCTATCTGGGCTGATTATTATGGTTAAGGGATTAATATCTCTGAATAGACTATAATTTTGATATCCATGACTTATCTCTAATAATGTCTAATTCTTTACCAGATCAGCAAAATAGAATCATTTGCAGTTAAAAAAATGCCCTTGTGATGGCTTTAAAACATGACCAGTTGATTCTCTGATACTCCTTCATTAAGAGGTAGGATCTTTGTCCCTTTTCCTTGAAATGGGGCCTTGTGACTGCTTGACTAATAGAACACAATGTAAGTCCCACTGTACCCACTTCTGGCTTGGGCATTAAGAAGCTAGCAGCTTCTATTTCCTATATCTTAGGATTATTGCTCTTGGAACCCAGCTACCATGCGCAAGGAAACCTAAGCAGCCAGTGCAAAAACCCTCATGGTGTACCCAGCACAAAGCTCTAGTAGAACTTCTAGTTGATAGCCATCTCCCACTTGCCAGCCGTATGAGTGAGTCATCCTGAAAGCAGGCCCTCTAGCATTCCCTCAGCTGAGCTGCCCTTGATAACATTGTGTGGAGCACAGATTAATGATTCCTGTTGATCCCTGCTCAAATTTTAGATTTGTAAGCAAAATATATGATTACTTGTTCTTAAGCCACTAAGTTTTGAGGTGTTTTATTTTATTTTATTTATTTTTTGAGCTAAAATCTTACTCTGTTGCCTCAGCTGGAGTGCAGTGGCACAATCGCGGCTCACTTGCAACCTCCACCTCCTGGATTTAAGCAGTTCTCCTGCCTCAGCCTCCTGAGTGGCTGGGATTACAGGTGCGCACCACCATGCCCAGCTAATTTTTTGTATTTTGGTAGAGCCAGTGTTTCACCATGTTGGTCAGGCTGGTCCCGAACTCCTGACCTCAAATGATCTGCCTGCCTTGGCCTCTCAAAGTGCTGGGATTACAGGTATGAGCCATTGCACCCGGCCTGAGGTGATTTTTAATGCAACAATAGATAACTGGAACATGCTCTAAGGAAATGGCAATGTTCCCAGCTCTCGTCTCTTCAGTGTAGCCAAAGCTAGGTGCTATTCTACAGTTTAACTCTTGATGCTAATGGCTTGCAAAGAAAGAAAGTGAGCACGACACGTTTCCAGGGGAGGCTCTGAATCCTTACTCAATATTGGTGTGACTGTGCTTGTTTTAGGATGAT